ATATATAGGAGCAACAACAAGAATGCTCGCCTCCCGCCTTGCTGAGCATCAGGAAGATATAGCTAAAGGAAGATGCTCTACAGAACTCGCTAAAAAAGTTCTCGAGCAAGGATACAACCCGTTATGGCCCAGAACGGCAATAATTAAATGCTGCAACAATCGAAGACTTGTGTTCATCTGGGAAGCGCTTCTCACGGCCACTTCAGAAGCATGCAATGTTCCCACCCTCGATCTACCCGGGGTGTGGATTGCCTTGTATCGGCGCCTAAAAAACGAAATGCGCCCAACATCGTATCGCCAAACGCGGTAGCATCTCCACGCATGCGCCGCTAACATCTTAAAATATAAAGATTCGAAATATCAAAATTATTCGCACGTTCGTAACGAAATTTCCGGACGCTTGTTTGAATTTAAATATTATGTTCTTTTGGAACATCCTGCACGTTCGCTTTCTTAAAAACTTGTTCTTTTCGCCTGATGACGACGGTTATACAAACGTCGAAAGTACTTGTGTGAATACTAAATGAAGTTTATTAACGCCGTACTCAGTGAATTTGTACTCAGAAGCTAGACAAATATTGGCGTGAGTTATTTAAATTTATTTTTATTCATTTACCCAGTAATTACAATTCATGAAGTGTCATTTTACCTCTAATGCATCTAATACTGCTGCTTTCTACACAGTAGCTGCTCTCTACACGTGTGACTGGTCCGCATAAGTACTGTACATTATGGCGCCAATCCAGTCACACACACCTGTATTTGTATGGGATGTGTGTGATGGGTTGTCATGATGACATCATCACGCCAGGTACTTGTATATGGACATATCTGCATGTGGGTCTGGAGACAGATAGAGGAGCAGTGTCTCAGTTCTTAAGACCATCAGAAATATGTGTATTCTGATGGTCTTAGGTGACCCCCGTAAAAGGGCCGTTCAACATCCAAAGGGGTTGAGAACCACTGATCTAGAATGTCTAAGAATATTTGTGTGGATGTGTTGAATGGTATAGAAGCCTTTACCCAACATACGTACGTATTTTGACTTTTACGTATGTAGAGATAAAATATATGTAGTTGGCCGGATGGCCGAAGAGTGACATCGTTGGCCCATCATTTTGGGGGATTCAGAATCAAATTCAGGTGGAGAATCCTAGGAATTCTTTGTAAATGGATACATCTAGAATCCTCTCTCGCCACTCTGCCTTTGTCAACCTAGACGATACCGTTACTGGCTTGGAAAAGACTCAAGAGTCCATGACTCAAAAAAGTCAAAAATGAAAAATATGTATAATTTTTAAATGTTTTTGAAGTTTGATTTAACTTCTAAACATAGAATTTTTTTCAAAAGTATATAATATAGAAATAGATTTCCACCTAATCTTTTGACATTTCTTCTTTCAAATTCAGAATGTGCAAAATATAATCCAGAAAATTTCTCCATGACTCTGCTAATTAATCAAAGTGTGATGATTTTTTCATTGAAAATATTCTAAAACTTAATGTTTTAAAATTAGTTATATAAGACAGAATGCGTGTACTTTTAACAGTAAGAAAATGCAGCATTAAAAGAAATAATTAGACAACCATTGAAGGCAGAGCTTTCATCCTCCTGTTGATGACCCATCAGAATTGTCATAGAGCAGTTGCATCATTTATCCATTTTATTTCATTCTGCAGCATTTGTTAAAGAATATGTTTTGAGGAAAATAACTCATAACACTGAAATGTATTATTTATTTATTTATTGAAAATCTTTTCAAACATAAATATGAAATTTAAGTAGAATTTGAACCTGAGATTGCAAGGAAGAGTACATTGATAATTTCTCCGCAGTGTAAATTATTTATAGTAATTCGTTGTTTCGGATACATTAGCCTTCCACTTTTATGACCTAATTGATTTCTGGAAAACAATTGTATCATATATCGGCATGTTTCCCATAATTAGCTCAGCAATAACAAGTTAAATATAGTTTTAACTCTAATTTTTCCCAAGATGGCCAACAAAATAACACAATGCTCAAATACACCATTTCATATAATCATTACAGAAAATTTATACATTACAAAAATGGAAGATCACAAAACCAGTGGTTTTAAAGTAGGGATCTGTCATGTTGTTTTTTTATAGTTTTGAAAATAATGACATAATATATAAATATAACTGTTAGTGTACATTGGTTGGTAGAGTTCTAATAAAATAATAATTAAACAAGTTTTTGCTAGTTTATTTTATAAATTTAATTTAGATTGTATATTTAAATGTGTGTTCCATTCTGTTATTGAATAGACCCAAAGACAATATATAATTGGATCAAAAGTAATAATCAAATTAAATAAATGGTACTTTCCATTAAATTGACTCATCAAATTTTTACATTTGGTCCAGATAATGCAAATATAAATGTAATGTGAATGTTGTTACAAAACAACAGTAGTTTTATAAATATTTTGCCATATAATTATTTTTAATTTCTTGTCATCACAAATTTTTTATAAAAAGTCTACTCTACCAGTTTATGGCCAATTACGTTCCTGTAGTCCAGAAATTAGTTGGCCGTATTAATCTGCAATCTTAAACAATACATTGTAAAATACGCATCTACCGAACCAAATTTTTGTCGAAATAAGAATTTGGCTAAATGTGTGTCTAACTTAGGTGGTGATATATGCAATATATTTGGAATACATCTGTATAACTTAGGCATCGGGATCCAAATCTAAAAAATGAAACATTTAGTTTACCGTCAAGTTTATACGGCTCCTTTGGACTCATTTATATACTTTCCAGCAATCCGATGTACTTGCCGATCCCAAATCTAACGAGATCCGTTTATTAAACTAAATTGGATTTTTGGAATGTCCCGTGGCAGTAAAAGTAGCAATTAATGGATAGATCAGTTTAATGGGGACGTACCAAGTAAATTTTTGCCAGTCAACGCGGTTAGCTATTTTATCATTAAATTAATATAATTTGTTGATTTTTTATAAAAATTCTAGTATGTTCATGTATTTTATAATATATTATTGCATAATTTTATTTTCAAGGACAAGAAACAAAAATCAGTATATTTAATCTATTAAACTGTCCGTAGTTGCTGATTCTACCAGTAGATTAGTTTTAATTCTTAATCATTTTCATGCAGTGTTAATTATTTCTTTTCTATTTTTGTATTTAATATAATTAACTGTAATTCTATTCTAAAAATATTATTATTATTATTTTTGTTTAGGTCAGTGCCAAAGATGTTAATAAATTTCAATTAGTAAGTAGTCATATTATTGCTATAATAATTTAAATAACCAAAAATAATGTTGTTAGTATTTAAGATAATAAATTAAGAATCTTAAGAATGAAATTTGGAATAAATCAGAATTTGAAAGAATAATGGTAGGGTTTGATGGGAGAAACTTGTAATCTTTTGTCTCTCAATAAATTAGTTAGGTTATAAAAATTCATAATCTAACTGGATAGATAGATCACAAAAATCACACCTTTAAAATTCCAGCAATGAATTTAATAAAACAATAACGTTTTCGATCAGCTTCACCTTTTCACTGCTCAACTAAGTTTCCGTTATTTATTTATTTTAGAATTCTTGTTCTTGTTTTTAAATTTTTGCATTTGTGTTCTACTTTTCTGTTCTATTGTAACTGAAGAAGGTCAGTGAAGATGATCAAAAATGTTATTATTTCATTAAATTCATTGCTGGATTTTTAATGGTGTGATTTTTGTGTCCATAATCTAACTTCAGTAATTCCAATTTGTCTTTTTGAACAAAGTAAAAAGATAAATAGCTTGACAAGATGGAATTATGAAGGTGCCCTAAAAATGGCAAAGGTAGCGGAACAAAACAGTAAATACTTTATGGAACAAAGTTATTGCCAAAAATGAAAAATGTGTCTTATTTTTATTTAAAAACCAAACAAACCTTTCGATCAACCCAAAAAGTAGCCAATGTAAGTTGGATACAGTGGAAGATAAAACTTGACCACTTTTGTTGCACATGTAAAGAAATCAACTTAAATGTGTATATTTTGACACAAATATTTAAAGAAATTTGCTTGCATTAACTGTGAGAATAACACAAATTTCAACACTCGATAATAATCCAAATGACTTTGACGATTAATATGCATGTAAAATAATGTTATAAGCCTGGTAGATTATCCGAGTTGTTGCCTCTTTTCAATTTTCTCTATTTTTTGTTACTATTTTAATCCATTACTACGCAAACTTTACCATAGTATTATATAGCAGGTGGCATTACTTTACGGTGCCATTATTTTTTACAGGCTTACGCAAATCTCTTGAAAGGTAACATGGACGGTCTGAAGAAGAAAGATAAAAAGAAGATAATATCAAAATCTAAAGCTACTCAATAAATTCTGTTCTTGTAAATGAATTTTGTAATGATTAAAAACTCATTTTGTAAACAAATATTTTCTACATTCTCAATTCTCATCACACTTAAACTGATCATTGTTATTTATTTGCGTGTTTGATCATTATGAAAATTTTAGATTTTCAATTTTGTACCTGAAGAAAATATAAATAAAATTAATTATCACGAAATGTTTGTTGGCAATCCACTTTTATTTTAAATAATATTTAATTAATTACAGATTCACATCCATGTGCTTGGAAATAATTAATGTACGGTACCTTGCCAAATTATTAGACCCACTGACTAAAATCATACTTTTTGTACTATTTTCTTCTCTGTTTCATAATATTGTGTAAGGAATGAGTATTTTTTTTACTATTATATCACAAACACTTGTAATAAATTTTTTATATGGCAACTGTAAATAGACAAATCAACTTTCTACTACAAAAAGAGAAATTGAAAGTTCTTACTAAGGCATGGCACCATAGTCCATTGATAACAAAAGTAAACAAATATATAAAGTGTATTCTTTATTATGTAGAAGTACTACTGGCTGTTAAGAGTGGTCATACAAAATGAGCAGTTGATTTTGAAAGTGGGGCAAGTCCATTTTATGCTATTGCTAGATATTTAATGGTTGCATTTGAATAAGTTTAAAAATATTTGTAAGCAGTAATACTTATTTTATATTTTTTTGGTGTTGTTTCATGTAAATTTAATATGCAATAATGATTATCTGTGTTAGGTGAAAAAATCATGATTTTGGTATGTGCCAATGGACTTACCTCACTTTCAAAAGCAATGATTTGTTGAAAATGTTGATTTTCTTTGAATGAAATGTAATTATAATAACAAAAAATTGAATATTTTATTTATTTACATATTTATTTTATTTCAACATTTCATACTTCTTTCAAAAAGCTACAATAAAACAAAAATAAATTTCTTCACTTCTCTTAACCTGTTACCGGTGCATTACATGTAAATGCACCAGTAACAGGTTAACAGAAGTGAGGATTTTTACTCCAGTGCTGAAGTAGAGATCAACTTTGTATTTAAAAATAAATTTATTTTTATATCAAAAAATGGATAAAATAAGAAAAATATTCAGTAATAAGTTGCATGCATATATAAACCACATTCATATCCAGCAGAATTAAATAAATAAAAAACTTAAACCAATACCTTAATATTTGCTGAGAGATTTTTAATGTAACAAACGTTTTCGATCTATTCGATAGATCATCTTCAGGTTAAAAAGAATATTTCTTAAGTGGAACAACAAGTTCAAAAATATTAATAACCAATAACATTTCCATTAATAAGAATAAGTAATACATTGTAAATGATACAAAAATGTAAAATAAATAAAATATATAAAATATTTAGAAACGATAAAGGGTTGGTTAAAAAAGAAGATAAGGTGGGTTTGTATAAGATTCCCTGTGAGAACCAGCTAATAGGTATAAAAAAAGATTATGTAGGGGTTACTACTAGAAACCTAGGTATAAGGATCAAAGAACACAGGTATGATATTAGAAAAGGTTCTAATACAACAGTATTAGCCCAGATGGCGCAAACGGAAGGATCCTTGGTTCGATGGAATGAAGTGGAAATCCTAAAACAGATACACTCTCCAACTTTGGCAAGAATGGCTGAAAAGATAGAAATTTACAGAAGCAAGCTTAAAGAAAAATGCATTAACGCAAGGGACGCAGAGGGTCTTCCCTCGGCTTGGAAGTATGCCGTTAAAAACTTAGAAGAGGTGCGTGAGCTCTAGTATGTTTTAAAGGGAATTATGTCTAGATAGAATAAACAGTATTAATATTTGGTACGAGTAATATGTTATTTATTTTACATTTTTGTATCATTTACAATGTATTAGTTATTCTTATTAATGGAAATGTTATTAATATTTTTGAACTTGTTCCATTTAAGAAATATTCTTTTTAACCTGAAGATGATCTATCAAATAGATCGAAAACGTTTGTTACATTAAAAATCTCTCAGCGAATATTAAGGTGTTGGTTTAGTTTTTTATTTTTGCATGCATATAATTATATTTCTTAGTTTCGATGGTGCAGATTTTTAAAGTATTCACGATGAATGAGTAATACATAGGAAAATAAATCCATTATATCTTTATATTTTTATTTAGTGGACTTGCCCTACTTTCAAAATCAACGGCTCAAATAATGATTTTCATTTTTAATTTTTTAATTATAAAATTTTTATAACTAAAAGTTACCTTTTGTTTTCCTAATGTTTACCTATGTTTTCAAATAACTAAAAGTTATTTGAAAACATAATAAACACAAATATTTTAATAATTCTACCAAATAGTACAGTTACAAACGAATGGGATTTTGAATTATCAGAATTTGAATAAATGAGAATTTCCTTTATCAATATTTTACACGGATCTAATAATTTGGCAAGGTATGTTGGAAGTTTTTTTAAAACTTTGTGTTATTTATTGGTCCTGCTTTTGAATTTGGTAATTCCTAATCTTTTAATGCATTCGTTGGCAAATGTTTGATAATTTCTTTTAGTGATATTGCTTTCAAATTATAATAGATTTTTGTCTTTGAGAATTTTCCATCTTCGTAGAGCAAATCTTAATTCTTTGAAGCAGAATTGTAATTAATGAAAAATTTTGAAATTTTTTTCAAAAGTAAATTTAATGTAGTCTACATACTGTGGTTTTAAATGTTATATATAAGTATACATTTAAAAAAATAAGGCATGGGACATATTTGTCCAAATCTGTGTCAATGGTACAGAAGATGAATTTATTACTTTTAAAGGTTCCTTAAGACTTTCTAATTCAGTAAAAAAATTTTAATAAAAACATCCAATGAACATTTTATTTAAAAAAAAAAAACAATATCAGTTTTCATGTATAGTTCGAAGCAGTTTCTGTCACTGGTCAAACACAAATGAACTTGGCAAGTCGTGCAGATGACATTTATTCGGTTGTTTTTCTGGGTGCATTTTCTGCAGAATTTTTTCATGCATATAGTGTCTGGTAAAACTTGAATATAATAACAATTTACCATTTTTAGACATCACAGTCCAAAAGTCTCATAACAGCTTAAGTTTTAAAAAGTATATTAAACCATGTAATGTAAGGAAAGTCATTAACTATCATTCCAGTTAACGACTTTCATTCCAATTAAAACACATACAAGCAATTACCTTGAACAAACTAAAGAAATAGCCCACATTTATAAAATCTTTCAACTAAACGACTATCCAAATAAGATACTTGAAAACTAGCTTACCAACTCAAATGACTTATAAAAAACTTACATTCCCACAATTTTTGAAAAAATTAGAAACTATTAAAACTACATAACAACTCTGCAGCAACCCTAGTAAACTGATTACCAAATCAATTACCGAACATACTCTCTAATGTCAATTGTAATCAACAATGTAAGTTACTTTTTAAAAAAATTTTGTTAAAATGTTATATGTATCATTCTGTATAATGTAACCTATATCTATTTTTTTTTTTTTTTTTTTTTTTTTTGTAAAGCCTAAGGACTGAAGAGGAGTCATTAAGACCCAAAATGCATTTCCTTTAATAAAAAATACATAAATCAACTGTTCCTTGTGTGATGTGTTACTGAAGAAAGAAATCTACTGGCTTTTAACTCTTTAAAGTCTATAAAAACCCAGTAATGGAAACCTAATTAAATGAAAACATTGTTCGCAGAAATATCAAGATCATTGAAAGGTCAAAAATATTACTTTATTTTAGATTTCCTGTCTGAAATTTTATTATTTTCCTGTCTATCAGGTCCATTCCACCCATAAATTCATTGTAGATCTGTGCAATGTTTGGACACTAGTTTCTTCTCTCTTTCTTTTCTCCCTTTGATGTCTTTCTCATCCAAATCATATTCTTCATTGTTCTGATCAATACACAACAATTCATCAATTTCTCTTATAAAAGTTTGAATTGTCTACTGCACTATTTACTTGCCATGGTTTCATTTTTGAATGTTTCATGTAAAAAACACTAACACTAAAATTTAAAATCCATAATAAACATTGACTTAGAAACTTTAATCCTTCTGTAACCCTTCACACAGAATGGGACAGCCCTGTACCAATTACTTACTCTGAGTGATAAATCCTGCATTTCAAGAAAAAAAGAACCCACTGGGATTGCCCCCACAATTCTAAAGATAACAACTTCCACAATTATTGCAATAGAAAAACAATATTTAATTTTAAAGAAATGGGACACCTGTGTACCATCTGCTTCAAAGGGTTAAAACAGGTATCTTAAATGCTATCTACTATTTTGTTGCATATATCAATTCACTTTTTTCCAAACTATATTTTATAGTTATAGAAATGCTGAAGACAAAGACATTCTCTCTCTCTCTCTCTCTCCAACGAAAAAACCTAAAACAACGATCTAATGAAATGTCGATGTGATCTGGACAAAATGTCACAAAATTTGCATATTAACTATTTTAGCAGATATATGTCAACAAATGACTTGTCATTTTCTGCACACTTCAAATGTTTATGTAGATTTGATAAGTGGCTTTGAAATTATCTTTGGAAGTTTTATGTTGGACTCTAAACAGACCGCATCGTAGAGGATCTCGCAATTCAACACCTCGTCTGGAGACATTGCTATCGAGCTTAAATAATATTTTTTCTTTGTAAATCTTCAATCCCCAATAGATTATTGCTCTCCTGTTTAGGGCTATGTTATAATTTAATATCTTATTAAATACATTTTTAACATTACAAAGTTGTTCTTAAGAGGTTGTGTAGTAAAGGAAATTCTAGATTCTATTTTGTGTATTAATAGGCATTTAATAGATAGTACTTTGCCTTCTACTGAACATTCTCTTTAAAGAAGGGTATGCAACACCTCTAGTGGAGAAAACTCACAAAACTGGCAACAAGGAATCTCCATTCCTTGTTGCCAAATGTTGTTGCCAGAGAGTAATGGGAAGGCTTGTTTATTTTTTGTAGGCTATGGTCTGTATATACTGTATTCTATTGGTCATGCAACTCCCTATCCCTGCCACATTCAAATTTTACTAACTCCTCTTGCTCCCGACAACGGCACCAAGATGGCCATTTGATTACTTTTCTGCTAGATTTTGACAGCTGTTTACATAAATAAGGACTTTAATATGTGGCTCAAAAATAATAATAAGAGTGCTAGTACATTAAACAAATGAAGTGGGATATTTTCCTCTTGCTTTTAGTTGTTTGTTTTGACATGATTCCCGCATTCTTCACTTTTGTAAAAAAAATGCAGTCTGATTATAATGTACAAATGAATAATTTTCACTGCTAGTGCACTTCTACGACCATCCAACCTCACTAACCATGGATCGGCTAGGACAGAATTCACAATGTTCAAAAAATATTTTAATCAGAAATTATTTCAATTGTATATTTAACTATTACATCAATGTACATATTTAGTATGTACTGCACATATATAATATACAAAATAGTATGTTAACAATATAACTTAATNAAAAAAACTAATAGGTAGGTTTAAAATTAATAAATACAAATGTATTCTGACAGTGAATGAGTTAATTATGCTTTCTATTTGCAAAATTCCTCAACCTTAACACAAAATAAGAAAAAAAGTGAATTTTTAAGAAATTTGCGGGATTTCCCGGAATAAGAAAAATTTTCCCGGGATATTTTCTGGGTTAAAAAAACAACTGGGATCCCGGGATTCCGGAATCCTGTTTGAGAAACCCTACTTATGACGCTTTTCATTACTTCTTGTAACTCTTGTGGCAGCATCTTTGTTGCATATTTGCCAATGAATCATACAGTGACTTTTGGTGACTTATTCAGTACCAAATGTTGAAATTCAGATTGACATCCTAGCATAGCTGGAGCACCATCTGTGCAAATACCACAAACCTTTTCCCAAGAGATCTTATGCTCTTTCAGAAATGAACCAACTGTGTCAAATACATCATGTGCAATAGTTGTCATCTCAAGAAGTTTGCAAAAAAGAAACGCATCTTTAAAGTCGCCATCATTAATATATCTGGCATAAACCAGTAAATATGAACGGTTTGCAATGTCTGTAGCTTCATCAAGCTGGATACTAAATATTGGAAGTGGAGCAGATTTAATTTCCTGGATTACCTGATCAAGAGTATCAGCAGACATGTCATCTATTCTTTTGTGGACAGTGTCATTAGGTAAGGAAATAGCACTCAATTTCGTAACAAATTTGTCTCCGATCATAACTTGAACAATGTCTTTGGCTGCCGGCAACAGTAAATCCTCAGCAATGGTGTAATGTTTTATAGCTCTGGCGATTCTGAGGGCCACCAAATATGAAGCTTCAATGGCTGCTACATTTTGTTTGTGGTACTTGTCACCAGTGTCAAATCTGGCTTTTTTGAGTATATCAGCTTTGCTTCTAAAATAGTTGGTATCCTTGCCAGCAAAGCTCGGATGCTTGCTATCAAAATGGCGTTTTAGTTTGTTCAGCTTCATAGATTCGGCTGATAGAACTTCACAACAAATAACATATTGCAGTTTCTCAATTCCTGCTGTAATTATTGAGGTAAATCCATACCGTAAAAACTCCTCACTATATTTTTTTTTCTTAACGTACTTCTCTACATGATCCATTGTCATGGGATGGTTTGCTAATGAAAATAATATATAACAATAGCTTTAATAATACAAAAGATAATACATGGCATAGTTCAGTCAATACAGTTTATTAATTAAAGTTTCCTATGATTTACCATTCTCTGTGTTGTTTTTTACATACCTGTTACTATCACAAAGGGGCAGTATTCACATCAACCACAGCTGAATATAAAAAGACCAATCAGCATCCAGATTAAGTTCCCATGGTACAGATATTTTTTTTTCAATAGTTGATGATTTTACAGTACATGATTTTTCATTTACCCAGCTTCTGAGTACAAATTCACTGAGTACGGCGTTAATAAACTTCATTTAGTATTCACACAAGTACTTTCGACGTTTGTATAACCGTCGTCATCAGGCGAAAAGAACAAGTTTTTAAGAAAGCGAACGTGCAGGATGTTCCAAAAGAACATAATATTTAAATAACGCGGTAGCATCTCCACGCATGCGCCGCTAACATCTTAAAATATAAAGATTCGAAATATCAAAATTATTCGCACGTTCGTAACGAAATTTCCGGACGCTTGTTTGAATTTAAATATTATGTTCTTTTGGAACATCCTGCACGTTCGCTTTCTTAAAAACTTGTTCTTTTCGCCTGATGACGACGGTTATACAAACGTCGAAAGTACTTGTGTGAATACTAAATGAAGTTTATTAACGCCGTACTCAGTGAATTTGTACTCAGAAGCTAGACAAATATTGGCGTGAGTTATTTAAATTTATTTTTATTCATTTACCCAGTAATTACAATTCATGAAGTGTCATTTTACCTCTAATGCATCTAATACTGCTGCTTTCTACACAGTAGCTGCTCTCTACACGTGTGACTGGTCCGCATAAGTACTGTACATTATGGCGCCAATCCAGTCACACACACCTGTATTTGTATGGGATGTGTGTGATGGGTTGTCATGATGACATCATCACGCCAGGTACTTGTATATGGACATATCTGCATGTGGGTCTGGAGACAGATAGAGGAGCAGTGTCTCAGTTCTTAAGACCATCAGAAATATGTGTATTCTGATGGTCTTAGGTGACCCCCGTAAAAGGGCCGTTCAACATCCAAAGGGGTTGAGAACCACTGATCTAGAATGTCTAAGAATATTTGTGTGGATGTGTTGAATGGTATAGAAGCCTTTACCCAACATACGTACGTATTTTGACTTTTACGTATGTAGAGATAAAATATATGTAGTTGGCCGGATGGCCGAAGAGTGACATCGTTGGCCCATCATTTTGGGGGATTCAGAATCAAATTCAGGTGGAGAATCCTAGGAATTCTTTGTAAATGGATACATCTAGAATCCTCTCTCGCCACTCTGCCTTTGTCAACCTAGACGATACCGTTACTGGCTTGGAAAAGACTCAAGAGTCCATGACTCAAAAAAGTCAAAAATGAAAAATATGTATAATTTTAAAATGTTTTTGAAGTTTGATTTAACTTCTAAACATAGAATTTTTTTCAAAAGTATATAATATAGAAATAGATTTCCACCTAATCTTTTGACATTTCTTCTTTCAAATTCAGAATGTGCAAAATATAATCCAGAAAATTTCTCCATGACTCTGCTAATTAATCAAAGTGTGATGATTTTTTCATTGAAAATATTCTAAAACTTAATGTTTTAAAATTAGTTATATAAGACAGAATGCGTGTACTTTTAACAGTAAGAAAATGCAGCATTAAAAGAAATAATTAGACAACCATTGAAGGCAGAGCTTTCATCCTCCTGTTGATGACCCATCAGAATTGTCATAGAGCAGTTGCATCATTTATCCATTTTATTTCATTCTGCAGCATTTGTTAAAGAATATGTTTTGAGGAAAATAACTCATAACACTGAAATGTATTATTTATTTATTTATTGAAAATCTTTTCAAACATAAATATGAAATTTAAGTAGAATTTGAACCTGAGATTGCAAGGAAGAGTACATTGATAATTTCTCCGCAGTGTAAATTATTTATAGTAATTCGTTGTTTCGGATACATTAGCCTTCCACTTTTATGACCTAATTGATTTCTGGAAAACAATTGTATCATATATCGGCATGTTTCCCATAATTAGCTCAGCAATAACAAGTTAAATATAGTTTTAACTCTAATTTTTCCCAAGATGGCCAACAAAATAACACAATGCTCAAATACACCATTTCATATAATCATTACAGAAAATTTATACATTACAAAAATGGAAGATCACAAAACCAGTGGTTTTAAAGTAGGGATCTGTCATGTTGTTTTTTTATAGTTTTGAAAATAATGACATAATATATAAATATAACTGTTAGTGTACATTGGTTGGTAGAGTTCTAATAAAATAATAATTAAACAAGTTTTTGCTAGTTTATTTTATAAATTTAATTTAGATTGTATATTTAAATGTGTGTTCCATTCTGTTATTGAATAGACCCAAAGACAATATATAATTGGATCAAAAGTAATAATCAAATTAAATAAATGGTACTTTCCATTAAATTGACTCATCAAATTTTTACATTTGGTCCAGATAATGCAAATATAAATGTAATGTGAATGTTGTTACAAAACAACAGTAGTTTTATAAATATTTTGCCATATAATTATTTTTAATTTCTTGTCATCACAAATTTTTTATAAAAAGTCTACTCTACCAGTTTATGGCCAATTACGTTCCTGTAGTCCAGAAATTAGTTGGCCGTATTAATCTGCAATCTTAAACAATACATTGTAAAATACGCATCTACCGAACCAAATTTTTGTCGAAATAAGAATTTGGCTAAATGTGTGTCTAACTTAGGTGGTGATATATGCAATATATTTGGAATACATCTGTATAACTTAGGCATCGGGATCCAAATCTAAAAAATGAAACATTTAGTTTACCGTCAAGTTTATACGGCTCCTTTGGACTCATTTATATACTTTCCAGCAATCCGATGTACTTGCCGATCCCAAATCTAACGAGATCCGTTTATTAAACTAAATTGGATTTTTGGAATGTCCCGTGGCAGTAAAAGTAGCAATTAATGGATAGATCAGTTTAATGGGGACGTACCAAGTAAATTTTTGCCAGTCAACGCGGTTAGCTATTTTATCATTAAATTAATATAATTTGTTGATTTTTTATAAAAATTCTAGTATGTTCATGTATTTTATAATATATTATTGCATAATTTTATTTTCAAGGACAAGAAACAAAAATCAGTATATTTAATCTATTAAACTGTCCGTAGTTGCTGATTCTACCAGTAGATTAGTTTTAATTCTTAATCATTTTCATGCAGTGTTAATTATTTCTTTTCTATTTTTGTATTTAATATAATTAACTGTAATTCTATTCTAAAAATATTATTATTATTATTTTTGTTTAGGTCAGTGCCAAAGATGTTAATAAATTTCAATTAGTAAGTAGTCATATTATTGCTATAATAATTTAAATAACCAAAAATAATGTTGTTAGTATTTAAGATAATAAATTAAGAATCTTAAGAATGAAATTTGGAATAAATCAGAATTTGAAAGAATAATGGTAGGGTTTGATGGGAGAAACTTGTAATCTTTTGTCTCTCAATAAATTAGTTAGGTTATAAAAATTCATAATCTAACTGGATAGATAGATCACAAAAATCACACCTTTAAAATTCCAGCAATGAATTTAATAAAACAATAACGTTTTCGATCAGCTTCACCTTTTCACTGCTCAACTAAGTTTCCGTTATTTATTTATTTTAGAATTCTTGTTCTTGTTTTTAAATTTTTGCATTTGTGTTCTACTTTTCTGTTCTATTGTAACTGAAGAAGGTCAGTGAAGATGATCAAAAATGTTATTATTTCATTAAATTCATTGCTGGATTTTTAATGGTGTGATTTTTGTGTCCATAATCTAACTTCAGTAATTCCAATTTGTCTTTTTGAACAAAGTAAAAAGATAAATAGCTTGACAAGATGGAATTATGAAGGTGCCCTAAAAATGGCAAAGGTAGCGGAACAAAACAGTAAATACTTTATGGAACAAAGTTATTGCCAAAAATGAAAAATGTGTCTTATTTTTATTTAAAAACCAAACAAACCTTTCGATCAACCCAAAAAGTAGCCAATGTAAGTTGGATACAGTGGAAGATAAAACTTGACCACTTTTGTTGCACATGTAAAGAAATCAACTTAAATGTGTATATTTTGACACAAATATTTAAAGAAATTTGCTTGCATTAACTGTGAGAATAACACAAATTTCAACACTCGATAATAATCCAAATGACTTTGACGATTAATATGCATGTAAAATAATGTTATAAGCCTGGTAGATTATCCGAGTTGTTGCCTCTTTTCAATTTTCTCTATTTTTTGTTACTATTTTAATCCATTACTACGCAAACTTTACCATAGTATTATATAGCAGGTGGCATTACTTTACGGTGCCATTATTTTTTACAGGCTTACGCAAATCTCTTGAAAGGTAACATGGACGGTCTGAAGAAGAAAGATAAAAAGAAGATAATATCAAAATCTAAAGCTACTCAATAAATTCTGTTCTTGTAAATGAATTTTGTAATGATTAAAAACTCATTTTGTAAACAAATATTTTCTACATTCTCAATTCTCATCACACTTAAACTGATCATTGTTATTTATTTGCGTGTTTGATCATTATGAAAATTTTAGATTTTCAATTTTGTACCTGAAGAAAATATAAATAAAATTAATTATCACGAAATGTTTGTTGGCAATCCACTTTTATTTTAAATAATATTTAATTAATAGAAATACAGTATTGTATTTTTATAGCAATTCCGAGCTGCAATTTTCAATCATATATTCTCTGATATTTAACTCTCGATCTCAAATTAGTAGTCCCCGTACATCGTGCTTTTTTGATAACAACAGTGTCGTGCCGGTCATCTGTCAGGGTCGCCAACCGGTGGTCCGTGATAGCCCCACTTATAGTCTGCAAGAACATTTTGATGCTTAGTGGAGAAATTTGGGCA